ATATCATAAAGTGATGTATTGCCTATGTATTTGTCAGGAACCGTACGGAAAGCGCAGATCTGTAGGTTACTGTTACTATGGTTACCTCCTCAGGCGAACGCTTCTATTCGCGAGCGTGCACTGTATTTAGTGCGTTCCAACTAAAACTTGCAATCTAACTTTTGTGAACTTACTGAAATGTTTTATATACTTTTAACACCCCCCAAACTCTTCCTGATTTTACTTCAAGCCATTGGAGGATGCTTCAACCTCTCCATAATGTCAAAGCAGGGCCATGACTAGCTTTGGTACCTCATAGTGAAGAAGGGGAACGTCTTGGTGCTGAGTGTGTGTCGGGAGATGCTCACCTTTGGGTCGCGCCGGTTCCGTCTTGGGCAGCAGAAGCGCGTCTCCGCAGGTGCCGTTGGGAATCTCCAGACTCCCGTTTAAGGTCCCGTTCAGAACAGAGCTGCTCTGAAGCTGAAGGCATGCCCAAATCCCAGATGTATCATTTAGCGATTGCAAATCCATTTCGGATCTAACCACAACTATTTTATATTAGTGTTTCCTCGCAGTCATCCGTCAACAACGAGAGCGCAAAGAGCTGCTTAGAGAGCAGAAATTGAAAGAGGATAAATTTAGAATCAATAGAAAGGTAAGAAGGGAGAAATTAGATTAGCTCATGCTGAAATAAAGCACTGTTGCTCAGCAGTGTGTTGAAGGCACAGTTGCTCTGTATGAGTATGTGATGAAGCGCGGAGCGCCACTGAGTCTTCTCACGCGTGGACTGAGCTGAGGGTTTATTGGTGAGCTCTTAAACAGCAGGGGTGGGAGTTTGGGGGTGAGCCGGTGGGATTCAGGGATTTGGGCATCCTGGAGAGGAGGAGACATTGAAGGGAGTTTGTGGAGTACGCGCACATGGAGATTTAAGGAAAGTTATGAATGATAAGGCAGGTGGGGTGAAGCATCGGCGCCCTCTTGTGGAAGCAGAACCTCTTGTCTGGATTTTTGTTTGTCCTTTTCCATTTTGAAAAGACATTAAGTGTATTTTTATAAGATTTCAAACATTCTAACAGACATGATGTCTTTTAGTATTAATATATGGCACGCCGTTTCGTCCTAAATTAATACATATTCATAGAACAGACCAGGTGTAGTTGTCACAAACTTCAGTGAACATTTACGTTTAGTTTTGATCATACATTTCTATGTGGCACTTATCTAAAATGATTGACTAAAAGAAAAGAAAATAGATATTGGAAATATGTAAGTATTTTATTCATTTCTATTTTTAACTTTGCACATTGAAGAAATGTATGTATCCCGTGAGTCGCAATGCGTAGGTCACATTTTACATTTGAAAGTTATACATATATTACCATTATTTAACATGAATATGAATGTCTAGATGAGTGTATACCAGAGTCTAAACTTCTAATATTGAAGAAGTTATGATCATTTGATTCAGAAATGCGATAGCACTTTGTATGACAGTAAAATTATCATCATTGCTTGTCTATGGCTTCATAGACTTTGATCTGTTTGGTCAGGTGTTTTCTTTGGCCAATTTATAGGCCTATAACTGATGAGCAGTTCAAGCACAGGCTTCAGGTCTAAATAAAGTGCCTGAGTCTGTGCACATTTGCAAAGGCAATACAAACAAATGTGTGATTATACACACACTCATGGTCCAGACTGGTTTCCTCACTTGACTCTGTCACAGGATTTAGGATTTAGATTTAACGAGTTTGCTAATACTCAGATCATTTGAGTGGCCCACTGAAAACAGCAATTACGTTAAGAGGGCATGATTTACCAGAAGACTGACCCGCGAATCAGTGCCATGATCCCAGTTAGTTGCACAAACATCTGTTCTTTCTTGGAATAGAGAGAGTAATACACATTGTGGCACCTGTTTCCGTTTTTTTTTTTTTTTTGTAATCATCTTGAGATCATGAAGGGAATGGTATCAAACCTTAATGGATGTTTTTTAGCCTGACTGAATTTAATCTGTAATTTTTAGAATTATATATACATTAACAAAAAGTAATAATATATTTTTAAATAAAATGTATACATTGATTTTTTTAATGTACAGTTGTGCTCATAAATTTGCATACCCCTTGCAGAATATGCCAAATGTTAATAATTTTAACAAAATAAGAGGGATCGTGAAAATTGCATGTTATTTTTTATTTAGTACTGTCCTGAATAAGCTATTTCACAAAACTCCACAAGACAAAATAATACTGAATTCATAAAAAATGACCCCATTCATTCGTGAATCTTAATAATGTGTGTCATTTCCTGGATGATAGATGACTGTTTTTCTGTGTTGTGATAGTTGTTCATGAGTCCCTTGATGGTCCTGAGCAGTTCAACTGCCAGATGTTCTTAAGAAAAGTTCTCCAGCTCCTGCACATTCTTTGGTTTTCCAGCATCTTCTGCGTATTTGAACCCTTTCCAACAGTGACTGCATGATTTTGAGATCCATCTTTTCACATGGAGGACAATTGGGGAACTCATACATAACTATGATATAAGGTGGAAACATTTACTGATGCTCAAGAAGGCAACACAATGCATTAAGAGCTGGGTGGTGTAAACTTTTTGAATTGGATGATCAGGGTAAATTGTACTTATTTTGTCTTCTGGGAAACATTAAAATATTTATGTAGCTTCTTAAGTGCAGTACCAAATGGAAAAAAAATAGTACTGTCCTGAATAAGCTATTTCACAAAACAGATGTTTACATATACTGCACAAGACAAAATAATAACTGAATTCATAAAAAATGACCCCATTCATTCGTGAATCTTAATAATGTGTGTCATTTCCTGGATGATAGATGACTGTTTTTCTGTGTTGTGATAGTTGTTCATGAGTCCCTTGATGGTCCTGAGCAGTTCAACTGCCAGATGTTCTTAAGAAAAGTTCTCCAGCTCCTCCACATTCTTTGGTTTTCCAGCATCTTCTGCGTATTTGAACCCTTTCCAACAGTGACTGCATGATTTTGAGATCCATCTTTTCACATGGAGGACAATTGGGGAACTCATACATAACTATGATATAAGGTGGAAACATTTACTGATGCTCAAGAAGGCAACACAATGCATTAAGAGCTGGGTGGTGTAAACTTTTTGAATTGGATGATCAGGGTAAATTGTACTTATTTTGTCTTCTGGGAAACATTAAAATATTTATGTAGCTTCTTAAGTGCAGTACCAAATGGAAAAAAAATATGCTCTTTAAACAAAATTTAAAAAATGTACACATCCTCATCCTGTTCAAAAGTTTACTCTGGCTCTTAATGCATTGAGTTGCCGTCTTGAGCATCAGTAAATGTTTTGACCTTTTGTAATAGCTGTGTACGAGTCCCTCAATTGTCCTCCATGTGAAAAGATGGATCCCAAAATCATGCAGTCACTGCTGGAAAGGGTTCAAATATGCAGAAGATGCTGGAAAACCAAAGAATGTGCAGGAGCTGAAGGATTTTTCTGAAGAACAGCAGACAGTTGAACTGCTCAGGACCATCAAGGGACTCATGGACAACTATCACAACACAGAAAAACAGATCATCCAGGAAAAAATTATTAATATTCAAGATATGTCAACTTTTGAACGGGGTCATTTTTTTAATGAATTCAGTTATTATTTTGTCTTGTGGAGTATATATAACATATGTTATGTGAAATAGCTTATTCAGGACAGTACTAAATAAAAATAACATGCAATTTTCATGATCCCTCTTATTTATTTACAATTATTAACATATTTACATAAGGGGTATGTAATCTTATGAGCACAACTGTATATATTTTTTTAACAAAGTGTCGTATGCTCACTAAAACTGCATTTATTTGATCTAAATTACAGCAAAAACAGTAATATTGTGAAATAGTATTACAATTTTTAATAGTTGTTTTACATTTTCAAACTTTTAATGTAATTTATCCCTGTAATGCAAAGCTAAATCTTAAAAATTTCAGCATCATTACTCCAGTCTTCAATGTCACATGATTCTTCAGAAACTGTAATATGCTGATTTGATGCTCTGTTATTATCAGTATATTATATTGATGCTCAGTTGTTTCTTATTTTTATAAATGTTGAAAATAGTAAAATAGTTGTCACTGTCTAATATTTTTGTGGAAACCATGATACATTTTTTTCAGGATTCTGTGATGAAGCTGAAAAGAACAGCATTCATTTGAAATACATTATTTATTTATTGATTGATTGATTGCCTAAAACTTTTGAATAGTAGTGCATCATGGTTTCCACAAAATATTAAGCATCAAAAACTGTTAACATTAATAATAAAAAGAGATGTTTCTTGAGTAACAAATCAGTATATTAGACACTGAAGACTGGAGAAATGATGCTGAAATTCAAGTTTGCCATCACAGGAATAAACTACATTAAATATTTGAAAACTGAAAACAATTATTTTAAATTGTAATCTTTCACAATATTACTGCTTTACTGTATTTTGATCAAATAAATGCAAAGACATTGCTCAAAAAAACACAAATATATGTAATAAAAAAAACTTATTTTAGAAATGTATATATTTTTATTTAAATTCATTTATACCATCAAACAAATCTCTCACAAACTAAAATTGAGCTGGTTTTAATGCTTCAAGGTGTTCCGCAGTCTGGTTACTTGGCTTGGATTTTAATATTGTGGACTAGATGACATTAAAATCTAGAGCAATCCAACTATTACAAATGGCATGCTGTAGTGCTTAAAGTGAACACACTCTTACAGCCCAGTAAACCAAGTAAATAGAGTGAATAAAAATATCCACGCAGACTTCAGATTTGCAAATTAAGATGTCTTATTAAAAACATGATTTTTTTTGTTTGAATTTCTTTAGGGTAGAATATGGTCACTCATAGCAACAGAGAATAAGCCTCCAGCCACGGGACATGGTTAAATAACTCACCTTTTAGATCAACCTTTGGCCTGTCAAAGTCCTTCACACACACTTACAGCAGCGCTAGATAACACCTGAGCAGAAGCAGGCAGCCACCTCCTTTACACCGGGACACTGAGGAGACTGTAGCTGGTGAGTGACACAACATAGATGTACCTTTAGAAATATCATGTGCTTTGAGAAAGAAAGATGTGCTTTGATGTGTACCTTACTTTTTGAAAAATGTATTCAGAGTGATGTCATTTGAATAGATTTTTTAGAATAGAATAGAATAGAATGAAATAGAAATGTTGATCCAGACCACCTAAATTTAAGCAATGACAACCTGGGAATCATTTTGAGAAATTTTATAATGCAGTGCTTTAAGTGGAAAGCACTTGGAGGCTAAAGTGAAATTCTTGCTTTAATATTATTTGTACAGATGAGAAACTTGACGCAAGTTGCATTAATTATTAAACGGCAGCAAGGAGTTGGTTTTTGGCATAATGTGATGATGTGAAAGCATTAGCAGCTCATAGAGCAGTTCATGGAGCACTCAAGTGTGAGAAGTGTACTTCAGCTCTCAGCTGATGTGTGAGGTATTGTGTAATTGATATGGCATCTGTTGAACTTGAACCTACAGCTAGATGCTTGTGCTTTTTCTCCTGGTAAAACATTTATCAAAATGAACCAAGGCTATAGGCAATATTTCTAAAGCCTTAAAAGCATTGATGATGGTTCCTCCCAATTGTGTCTATTGTTTTGTAAAGATTTCATGATTGGCATTCGTAATTACTGAGACAAGATACTGTACAAGGTACACGTTAGAAAAAAATACTTCACCGAACACATACAACTTTGTTAACAATTGTGAAGTCAGAGCATGCACGCACTCTAAAACTCACTCTAAAACACAATCAACTTGATTGATTGATTGATTGATTGTCATCGGTAATTACAGAGACAAGGTGCAAGCGTTTTAAAGCAAAATGTGCTTTGACAAACACATTCAGGCACTTTAAAAATTACTAGTTGTAGAATCAGAGTGCTCACTCTCTTATGTAATTATTTATTTGCTCTGCTTCTATTTCAATTTAACATGAACTCCCAATGTACTACATTTGTTAATGCACATTCTAGGTCTTATTGTGCATGATTAATTAGGGCATATTATTCATAAAAAAAAGATCAAATGTTTATTGCAAATAGTACATTATTTTAATACAATATTCTTTGCTCTAATATTTTAATATGATTTCATTTATTATTATTAAATATATATATGCTTGCTCTGCCTCTGAAATGTTTTTTTATCTTATGCATTTTTGAATACCCAGAAATATAAGTAAATTATTTTTTAAATGTCGTACATGACTTTAAGCCTTCAGTGATGTAGTTCAGCAGGTGCACCCTAACACAGGGCGGTGATTATATGGTCTTTGATAATTGTATATTACCCCAGTTATCACTCCATTTGAAGAACATAATATTACGTAATCATGTTCAGCTCTGTCTCTAATCTGCACCAGTCTGCTTTCATCGATTACTAACACCTGCGATTTAAATCACAATATTTTGTCATTATAACACTGCTATATATTACTAAGACTAAATAAATTTGGTTTCCAAACACTTCTTTGGCACTTCATTGCTCAGTTGTGATTATCAGTTTTATCACCAGATGACTGGTATATAATGAATTGTGTGCATCTATGATAAGATAGCATCAGATGTACTAAGACGAGCATATTATCACGTTAGATGACCTCAGCGTAAAAGCAACACTGATCGATAGATGTTTCCTAACAGGGAAAATGGCTGGGCCAAAACCACGTATCATTACTCTGACCAAGCGAGAGGGTCAGGGCTATGGTTTCTACCTCCGAGTGGAGCACGGCGAGGAGGGTCACCTGATCCGAGCCCTGGAGATGGGCGGCACGGCTGAACTGGCCGGTCTGAAAGACGGAGACCGCATAGTCAGAGTCAATGGAACTTTTGTGGACATTTTGGAGCATAGCCAGGTTTGATGCATTTGAAAATCGACTTTCTGTAAATCCTATATTAATTCTTTCAATATAATTAATTTTAATAGTTTGGTGGTAAACCTCAGACCTGTCTTTTTCATGGGTCAGGTTGCAGATTTGGTGAGAAAGAGTGGGATGAGCGTCACATTGCATGTCCTTGGAGAAGAGGCATATAAGACTGCCAAAGCCAACGGTGTGAATCTTGCTGACACTCAGTCCCAGTCAGGTCAGAGCCAGCCCACCATGAATGGAGTGTCTGCACCAGCCGCTAAAGCCAAGCTTTGTTATCTGCAAAAATCCAGCAGTGGATTTGGTTTCTCTTTAAAGTCCACCAAAGGTAGGCCAAAAACTCCCATAGCCAGATTCTTAAGTAACATAATATGATCTTGTTTACAGTAATGCCTATTTGGGCCAAGAACTGGCTACTTAGAATAATAGACCATCTGACCAACATGTACAAGTGTCTAATCACAAATTTGATTAATTTTATGTACCATTTAGAGAGTTTATATGAAAATATAAATTCAAATAAATGGTTAAAATTACAGAAATATCAAATGTATGTATATATATATATATAAAGGTTCCAAAATAGGGTTTTTGCTATAGAAGAACCACTTTAGGTTCCCCAAAGAACCTTCTCAAAATATTTTTTTTCTTAGTTTGAAGAAGAGTTTAATAATCTGAAGAGCTCTTTTTCATTATAAAGAACATTATGTGCAATAGAAAAGGGTCCATGGATGTTACAAAGACTCTTAATGGAATCGTAATAAAAAATAAGGGTATAGTAAGTGCAGATTGTTTCACAGCTATAATACAGAAAACAAAGCAGTAAATCTAGTTAAATTAGTCAATTTGAATATATTTGAAAGATTTGCTTCTGATCTGCCGAACTTTGGTAAATCCTGTCATTAGTTCATTTTCAAACATTCTCATGGTCAGCTAAAGGGATTAGAGCCTGCCAGCTCAAGAAAGTATTTTCCAGTGCTGTCGACAATCAGCGAATGGTCATCCAAGACTGAGAAAGTCAAACGTTAACTAATTTCTAAGGCCTGTTTTGGATAAATCAACCAATATGTTGATCATTTTCGGAATTATTTCAGATGACACGTGAGATGAAGTACTAACTGAGTTTTTTGATCTAACCCTGTTTTCTCGCAGGTACTAAGGGCATATTCATGACAGAAGTGATGTCTGGAGGAGAAGCTGATCAGGCTGGTGTGAAGCTTGATGATCGTATAGTGGAGATAAACAGTGAGAATGTTGAGAGTCTCTCACATGATAAGATTGTGCAAAAGGTAAGTTAAAATTATGCTTTAATCCTAGCTGCAATAACTCCTGTCTAACATTACCTCTTTATCACCAATTGGATAATGCGGTAATCATTTTAGAGAAGCTTTAAAGGCATAGTCCACTCAAAAATGAAAATTCAGTCATCTTTCTCTCAATGCTCATGTCATTCCAAACTTGTATGACTTTATTTATTTTGTGGAACACAAAAGAAGATATTTTGAATAATTAAAATTATGCTTTAATCCTAGCTGCAATAACTCCTGTCTAACATTACCTCTTTATCACCAATTGGATAATGCGGTAATCATTTTAGAGAAGCTTTAAAGGCATAGTCCACTCAAAAATGAAAATTCAGTCATCTTTCTCTCATGCTCATGTCATTCCAAACTTGTATGACTTTATTTATTTTGTGGAACACAAAAGAAGATATTTTGAATAATGTTGGTAATCAAACAGTTCCTGCTCCCATTGACTTTTTTGTCCATGCAGTGGAAGTCAATGGGACCCAGAATTTTTTGGTTACCAAGATTCTTCAAAATATCAGTAACTTTTGAGTGCAAACTGTATGGATGCTGCTGAAGACCCTGACTCTACTCACTGACTCTATCAGTGTTTGAGAAAAAATATTATAATAATGTAGTCCTGTTGTTATTGTAGGTGAAAGCAGCCGGGGACAAAGTGATGCTTCTGTTAGTGGATGAGGATGCTGACAAATTCTTCAAAGGCAAAGGCATTCGACCAAGCACGGCTCATGCCACTGTCAAGCACCTCCCGCATAAGCCACGCATTGCAGACATGACCAAGAGAGCAGATGGCTATGGCTTTATCCTGAAGGAAGTTCCTAAACATGCAGGTAAGTGCTTGCCATGGTGTGGAAGTCAACATGAAATACAAATTTAGTCTATTGCACATTGTGTTAAAATTGTCAAATTTAGCCTAATTGTAGTCTAAATTAAATCTGCTTCAGTTGTTCAAAAGACAGTTTCAAAAACAGTGTCTATTTACACTATGTGCAAATAGCCCGCCTTGTTGGCAGAGGCTATTTACACTAACTCCGCCCACCAATGTCTGATTTGGATAGTCAACACTGAAAAAAGACGCTTTTCAAATATCAGTTTCAGTGGCGTAGATGGTAAGGCACTTTTTACACTTTTTGACGTGAATGACCCGAGTTCGAACCCGCCGTTTGCAGAACTATTTTTTTCAGAACACCCATTTCAAATCTTATATCGCATCGGAAAGGCATTTATTTTCAATAAAAATTAAGGAAATAATCAAAAAGTTGAAAATAAAGTATCGTGTAGGGTTAGGGTAGGTGTAGGGAGGTCTTTATTGTCCCAATAAGGTGGCATCTATTTAATAATTTGAATTAAAATTATAATTTACACTCAATACATTATTATTGTGTACTGTTTTATAATGTACTACAATACTGAGGTGCAGCTAATTGCTACTATTTGCAATAAGTAGTATAAATAGCAGAAAATATTGCTGTTTTAACATAGTGTAAATAGCATCCATCGCTATTTGCACTTAGTGTAAATAGTATCTATCACTAAGAAAATATGCTATTTACACAGTGCAAATAACCGCTGCCATATAAAATATCAAATCATAAAGGAAACAAAATTGTGTTTTGTGTGTGTATGAAGTAAGAAAAGTCACTTAGTGCCTAGAAAAACTTATTTTTCTTCAATTTGCAATTGAATATAGCCTATATATCACTCTGTAAAAAGTTTGTTTTACCCAAATGCTGGGTTCAGCTTGTTGGGTCATTTTATTTGGTTATTTTTTAAGATTTTAATAACTATGCATGGGTCTTTTTTAATTCTGTTTTTTTTTTTAAACATACCTAACCGCTGGGCTGAGCCTGTCTCACTGAAAAAAATGCTACTAAATTGTTTTAAGGTAAGTGGTCGCAAACAATTTATTTTAGCTACATTTAATAAAAAAAAATATGTTGAAAGTTAGTCAAATAAATGTGTTTAGCACTTAGTGTAAATAGAATCTAATTGATATTTACACTTAGTGCAAATAGAATCTTTTGCTATTTACACTTAGTGCAAATAGCCACTGCCAAAAAACTGTATTTGTGAGGCTTTCCAAAAGTATCATGTTCCTTTCTGATTATTACTGTATGTTTTTGTCAGATTTCTCTTGGTGGCTTATCTTTTGGTTCCTGCTGAGGGAAATGTTATAGCAGTGCACCTGTATCTGACCTGCCAAGAAATGTAAAAGAGTTGTTGAATTTTAAATAGGTCACAAGCTATTTATTCATTCTTTTGTAGGCTTTAAGATTTTCATTATTTTATGTCATCCAAAGTGACTTACAGCACACTAATTGCATAGATGTCTCTCTGGAGCAACCTGAGGTTAAGTGCACTGCTCGCAGACTTGAACTCAGGGGAAATACAGCAGGACTGTAATTTCCAGGATCCTGGACGTTTGGTGTTAGCAGCCCTGATTCTCTTTGCATTACCACTGCATTACTTTCATTAGTTCTTCTGTTTATTTTTCTTTCTAGCATGGTGGTGCCAGTTATCCATCGCTATTTGCACTTAGCGTAAATAGTATCTATCACTAAGAAAAAATGCTATTTGCACTTAGTGTAAATAGAATCTAATTGATATTTACACTTAGTGCAAATAGAATCTTTTGCTATTTACACTTAGTGCAAATAGCCACTGCCAAAAAACTGTATTTGTGAGGCTTTCCAAAAGTATCATGTTCCTTTCTGATTATTACTGTATGTTTTTGTCAGATTTGTCTTGGTGGCTTATCTTTTGGTTCCTGCTGAGGGAAATGTTATAGCAGTGCACCTGTATCTGACCTGCCAAGAAATGTAAAAGAGTTGTTGAATTTTAAATAGGTCACAAGCTATTTATTCATTCTTTTGTAGGCTTTAAGATTTTCATTATTTTATGTCATCCAAAGTGACTTACAGCACACTAATTGCATAGATGTCTCTCTGGAGCAACCTGAGGTTAAGTGCACTGCTCGCAGACTTGAACTCAGGGGAAATACAGCAGGACTGTAATTTCCAGGATCCTGGACGTTTGGTGTTAGCAGCCCTGATTCTCTTTGCATTACCACTGCATTACTTTCATTAGTTCTTCTGTTTATTTTTCTTTCTAGCATGGTCTGAAGATTTTTTTGAGTGTATGAAAGTTATGTCTGAGATTCTGAAATATTGATCGCAATTCAATTTGCTGTTCTCTAGTATATATGAGAAATAAGAAAACATGTAATTTTTGAATGAATGAATGACTAGATCCAAATTTTCATTGATTGAAGAATTGATTTTGATTTTGGAGTTAGATTCACCTATCCACTTTCATTAAAAGAGTGGACATCCTTCAGATATAGAACATGAGGGTGAGTAACTGATTTCATTTTGGGATGAATTAACCTGTTAATGTGTTTTCTCTCAGGTGGTGAAAGATGGAGCAGCAGACAGAGCCGGGTTGGAGGATGATGACATTGTTGTGGAGGTGAATGGGGTGAATGTGGAAATGAGCACACATGAGGAGGTTGTGAACCTCGTCCGCAAGAGCGGGGACACGCTGGTCCTCCTAGTGGCTGAGAGGACGGCCTATGATCATCTGAAAGCACGAGGGATCGCCATCACCCCTCAGCCGTTGGATAAAGAGCCCTCCGCTGATGTCCCGGCACCAGCCTACGCACAGGAGGACAAGAGGAAAGATACAGGAAGTGACAACGAAAGGCCGGCCACTCCACCTGCTCAAACCTGGTCAAGGGTCAGTACTGCTTTTCAACATTTCTAATTGTTTTCAGCATTCACAATATACCTCACAATACTAAGTTTCTCATTCTGTCATCATTTACTCACACTCGTGTCATTCCAAACCTGTATGACTTTCTTTTTTCTGTGGAACATAAAATACATGTTGAAGAACTGTACACTGTCCACTAAAATATATTTCTAAATGTAGTCCAACATGTGCGTATCCTGAGTATCTGAATATGTACAATAACGTTGCGTTTGGAATGCTATAGACATGAGGAAATTATAATATTATAGTTTTAGGGCGAAATATCCCTTTAAACTGTTCAGTTCAAAAGTGCATTTATTTATTTATTTATGCTTTTCTTCATCTACAGTGCATTAAATTGATCAAAAGTTCAGTAAAAATGTTTATAATGTTACAAAAGATTTCTATTTTAAATAAATGCTGTTCTTTATTATGAAAGTCTCACGATTTCCATAAAAATATTAAGCATTATCAACTGTTTTCAACACTGATAATAATAAGAAATATATCTTGAGCAGCATATTAGAATGATTTCTGAAGGATCATGTGACACTGAAGACTGGAGTAATGATGCTGAAAATTCAGCTTTGACATCACGTGAATAAATTACATTTTACAACAGCTTTTTAAAATTGTAATAATATTTTGCAACTGTATTTTTGATCAAATAAATGCAGCCTTGGTGAGCATAAAAGACTTCTTTCAAAAACATAAAAAAAAATCTAGTGGTAGTGTATATTGTGATTTCCTTTATTTTGTCATATTCTGAGGTAAATCTATTAACTGTTCCTTTAAGGATACAATCCATGACTAAATCCTGAAAGAGCTACTAACTCTAACTTTTTTTTGCACCCTAGTCATCGTCGTCTTCATCCTCTTCATCGTCATCATCTTCAGCATCAGATGTGAGTGAGGACGTGAAACTCTGAGCACACCACACTTCTGTACCAACAGATACTTCCAATACTGTGATTTAGTGACAGGTTAATGCACTTACCTGATCAGCTAGTACAATCTATTAAGAGGGGAAATGCCCCATTGAACAAGAGACTGTAAGACCACTGATTAAAGAATATTATATATATATTCAAAGCTATTAGTGACAATATCAAATGTAATAGATTATTTCTGTACTGCTTTCATTGGGATCTACAACAACAATGATCTATTTGAACTGACTTTTTTATGCTTGTGAGTGACACATGAAATATAAAACTGCAAGTAGTTATGGTCTTTCGGGCAATGCATACTTCTTGATATATAATTTATTCTACAGAATGTTTTGTCATTTTCTCATGGATGCCTATTGAATAAAATCTCTTTATTTGGTGTGATGTCAAAAGCGAAAACAATTCTTATCATTTTAAAGGTGCATTTAGTTCTTTAGCAAGTGTTAGCAGCACCAATGTTCTTCATATATTTAAAGTAGCTATAACCAGTGCTTGAATTGGAAAAATATATGCTGCTATATGGATCCATTGATAATGATAAAATCAGGTGATTTGCAGTTCAACATTCAATGACAGATTTGCATTGTACTTATGCACAATGCATTATTCAAATGTTTTAGACATAAAGAAAAACAAATGTTAGAAGCAAATCTACATCACCAATTAAAAATTAATATTCACTTTCTATATTTGTAGCTCCAGCTTTAATCGAACAAAACAGCCAAGGACTCCCATCACTAACAAACCTGTTAGTTTATTGAGCACTGAGTTCGTTTTGCATTTATTTATTTGTTTGTTTTATTTTCAATTTAATGTTTATTGAGCACTGTGTGTGGTTGCTAAGGAATCCTTTGTGACGTAGCGTGACGAACATTCCATAGAAAGTTCGGTGAGTGTAAATCTGATGCAGACAAAATTACATTTTTGTAGGGAGTATCTTCAGTGGGGTTTGGGGATCTTTTTATGACTCCAAGAAAGCTCTGTTTAAACAGGGCAATGAAATCGTCTCAGTGTTTGTATTTACACGGCTATACACTGTGCAATTATTATTATTTTTTAATACTATAAGATAATTCAATGATAGACTGAACGTGCGTCATTCTGTACTTGCGTTTTTGAGGCAGCTGTCCAAAACAGTGAATCTACTCACCTTACAGTTCACTTCAAGTAGCTTCGATGAATTTGAAGTTTGGTGTTCAAAAAATAAAAATGAAAAAATAGTGCAAACTGAAAGAAAATGTGTAATCTGTATTTTGAGCCACAATGTTACAAATGATATTATCAGTAAGTCATGATGGCACCTTATGCTTTTACATTAGCCTAGTAGCCTACTTTAACTCATCAAAATAAGTTGAGCAATTTTCTAAGTTATACGAAAGTTATATGAAATTCATCTTGATTTTTCACATCGGTTTAATGACATTTAAGTTGTAATGACTTTAAAAAAAATTAAGGCAGCAATTGAACTTAAGTTTTTAAGTTGAAATGGGTGATTTTTTTTTTACAGTCTGAGCATAGACTTTTTTATAACAACAAAAAGTGTCTCTGAAAAATGTTACCAACAGTTACCAATATTCTAGCTTAGGAAGTCTTTATGTACATAAGTTATTTTTAATGAATATGGTGAGTGGTTTTGAATAGGATTTTGATAGCCGATGTGCATGTAGTCACAAAACAATCAGAATCCATTAGTCATTATCCATTCATCATTCAGGTTCTTCAGTGCATGCAAGCCTTAAGAGCTGTCACACTGTAGTATGGCCCATTTTTTACACAGCTTCAATAAAAATTGGCCCGTTTATACAAGACCCCACAACAAAATTCCAAGCTCTTTTGGGTTTACTCAACTCATCTCTTCACTCTCTTTTTCTCACACAAGGTTTCACAGATCTAGATATTATTTATTGCATACACAACAAATCTTGCACAACCTTTGCGTCATTCATTTTTGGGATCATCTGTCTTACAACCATCTAAGAGCCCTATCCACCAAGACAATGAGGCAGGAGAAACCTCACACCCCTTTTCTACAAGAAGCATCTGTACCCACCAGACTCCCAAAGAGAGGAAAGTGGAGGCAACAGAAGCCTTATCAAACCTTTTTGCCCCAGGGAGCCAAGTACCCACAAGAAGCATCCATGTCCACAAGTTTCCCACAGGGAGCTCCCATGACTGCCAGGAGCCCATAAAGTTCATCTACAATTTATACTTTACATTATTATACTATTTTATATACTGTATGTACAATGCCTTGCGAACATATTCATACATTCATTTTTTCACATTTTATGTTGCTGCCTTATGTTAAAGAGGTTATATGATGAGATTTAAATTTTTCCTTTCTCTTTGAAGTGTTACAAGCTCTTGGTGCATAAAGAAAATCTGTAAAGTTGCAAAGACTAAAGTCTCAAATCCAAAGAGATATTCTTTATAAAAGTTAAGAGTCAACCACGCCTACCTAAAACGGCTCGTTCTAACACGCCCCCACATGTCTACATCACGATGTGGGAAGATTTGCATAACGCCGCCCAAATGTTCACGCAAAGAAAGAAGGCATAACTTTTATTCTCGCTGTAGTATTGTTGCTGCCGCCATGTCGTGAAGGCGCCGTGTGCTTCATTGTGAATGCGAAACTACTTTATTTGGCCTTCCAAAAGAGGACATGACTAGAAATCAGTGATTAAGTTGTATTTACAACACCGTTCCAGAACAGTTCAACCCAAATATTCAGATGTGTCCAGCACATTTTATGGAGGATTGTTTCCTGATCCTGGTAGAGTAGACTACAATGCCGGCTGTTCTGACTCACAGTCTGTAAGTACGTTTTCATATTTAAAGGATTTGCCACTGATGATTCCAACGCGAGTTTTGAGCAGTGTAGAGTAGCGCTTGTTGTTTGTCATTTCTCCGATCACAAATGCAGACATGGTTTTATGTTTACGCGGTGCGATGCAACGTGTAAAAAGACAGTATAAGTCATTATAATCCGCAATTATGTCCCCACTGGATGCAACAAATGCCTCATTTATAATGGGTTTTGATGTTATTGTCTCATCGCTCCGGCCGGACAAGGCATCACAGTATGGTAGTAGTGTTGGGTCGTTCTTGAACGATTCATTCATTTTGAACAAATCTTTAATGTGACTCGGGAAGAACAAGTCGTCTCGGGGAGTGATTCGTTCAGTCGCGTATGCGCAACATCCTGTATTGGAATTAGTCAAGTAGTTCACCTGTTTCAAGTCTTCGGGTTTTCCGAGTCGTTCGTTCATCACGTGACAGTCCCATAAGTTTAACCTATGCAGTATGAGCCGGAAAGAGAATTGATTAGTTCATCTCTCGAGTCTTCAGGTTTGAGTCGTTCGTTCATCATGTGACAGACCCATAAGCTTTAACCAATGGAGTCTGAGCCGGAAAGAGAATTGATTAGTTCATCTCTCGAGTCTTCGGGTTTTTCCGAGTCGTTCGTTCATCACGTGACAGCCCCCTAAGCTTAACCTATGCAGTATGAGCCGGAAAGAGACTTAATAATAATAACCAACTCTTTATTACCTTTGTTACAACATTCAGTGTTATGGAAAAGAACCATCATGACACATTTATAAACTATAAGAAGTAAAAAGCTACAATTTGAGATCAGAAACGCATCACGTAACTGTAAGAGTAAATAATAATTATAATAATAATAATAACTATGCACCCGTTTGTAAGGAATCTTGTAAATTAACTAATTTCTCTCTCCAACGCTGTCACGTCACGTGACAAAAGAACGAACAATTCAAAAGACTCGAGAGATGAACTAATCAATTCTCTTTCTGGCTCAGACTGCATTGGTTAAGTTTATGGGGCTGTCACGTGATGAACGAATGACTCAAGCCCGAAGACGTGTCAGATAAGAGGTGAGGTGAGCTAAATCATAGACTGAAAACCCAGGTAAACAATGAATTAATCTTTTCTGTTTCTTATAGCATTATAGTTTTGTATTGTTTGTAACTTGTGATCAACGTTTGTGTAAGTTGTAGACGTGTAAGGGAAGTAACACATAACATTTTAATTATATTTTGCTAAAATGAACGAAATGACTTGAAAAAAGATTCGTTCATTTTCCTGAATGAGACTCAAAGGTCCGAGTTGGTAAAATGATCCGAACTTCCCATCACAATATGGTAGGGGCGTAACATTTCAGTCACACGCTTGAGGAATTCAGCCAATCACAACGCTCTGGATATCTGGCCAATCAAAGCACACCTCGCTTTTCAGACCGATGAGATTTGTAAAAAACGATGCGTTTCAGAAAGGCGGGGCATAGAGGAGAAACAATAATGTACAGTATGTGGAAAATAATGTGTTTTTTTTACCTTAAACCGCATAAAAACATTTCATTACACCAAATACACAAAATAATGTTCATTTTAGCAACTTCATATGACCCCTTTAAACTGCTTTAAACTATTTTTTTCCACATCAATCTACACTCCATACACCAAACTGACAAAGCAGAAAACGTAATTGTCACAACTGAAATAAGTACATTGCATAAGTATTCATACCCTTAACTCAGTACTTCGTTGAAGCACCTTTAGAGCCTCAAATCTTTTTGGGTATGATGGGACAAGCTTTGCACATCAGCATTTGGCAATTATCTGCCATTCTTCTCCTCACCTTTTCACCTCTCAAGCTCTGCAGCTTGGATGGGGGCAGACGCACATTTTCAGGTTTCTCCAGAAATATTTGATTGCGTTCAAGCCCAGGCTGTGGCTGGGTCACTCAAGGACATTCACAGAGTTGTCTATAAGCCACTCTTGCTCTGTGCTTAGCGTCATTGTCCTGTTGGACGATGAACCGTCCCCCCAGTCTGAGGTTCTGAATGCTCTGGACTGGGTTTCATTAAGGCTTAAGGATTAAGTTTTGCCACACCACCATAATTCCCAGATCGGTGGAGTGTTGCAGTGATGTTTGTCCTGTATGGGGTGTAGATTGATGGTGGGGGGGAAAGTAATTTAAAGCAGTTTAACAAGGTGCCAACATAAAACGTGGAAAAAAATGAAGGGGTATGAATACTTTGTAGTCTTCACAATAATAAATTATCTTAACTTCCAACAAAAAAGATGCAACCTGTGCATCACATCTCATCATCAAATATTCCCACTTTTGTATACAAAGCTTTTGTTCATTTTTGTCTTTAGCTCTTTCCTTGTTCTTCGGCTGTAGATATACTAATTCTCCTGTTGTTTTTGCTGGTAAAGCATTTTAATAATAGATGTTTAATGGCTTAATTTTCACTCTTCACATCACCAAACACCAATATGCTTATAGCATATCTGTAGAAGTGGCAGCCAATGAAGGTGAGGATTCTCGTTGCAGGTCACACCATTTCAGAATTACGAAATACACTGAGGGTGTGCGACCCACACAAAACACTTTTCATTTAAGACATCATGCTCTTCACAAAACACTTTCCTCGTAAAACTTTTTCAGCATCAATCTACTATGTACCAATAAGAATCAGTGGAAATGTTTGAAAAAGCCTTTTAATGGAAATCTGAGCTTCCTGCATTTGACGAGAAGTCCAAGACAGTTACATCCCTGGCATGCAGATATTGCCTTTTCAGTAAATCAACGTGCTGTCTAACACACAAAAAAAAATGATAATACAAAAGCCCAAAGTGCATATATTCTTAAACCTTTTCTAGTTGATGTGATTTCAGCAGAAGATTATGACTCACTCAATTACAGTATCCACATGTGAATCATTACAGTTCTTAATGAGACATGGAATGATAGTAACGATTAACAGGCCTGAAAGAAAAACAAGAGTCCAACAGTCCACTGTAACATAACTGGGTGTTGCTGAGATATAGATCTGATGTCTATTAATGATAAAAGATGGCTCAAGAGTAACTGATTTCATGGTAAACAAACTAGTAAGAGCACTTAGTTTGTTCACCTACCGTGGTAAACATAATAACACCTGGTATGGGAAATTTTATGCGTTTTATTAAAAAAAAAAAAAAAAAAAACCCACGTTGTAACCCATTTTTTCCCCTCCATTAATATGAGCCTATTTAAATGATACAGCAAATCAGCATTTTTTTAAACCAAAGTCAAATAAACACCGTTTCTGGGTACCTCCTGATTCAGGAAATACAGACCCAATAATGCTCATTACAGGGCAGAGCCATAAAAGTCCTTCTAAAAGGAGAGACAAAAGAAAGAGACACTAATTCATACATAATACATCAAATGTTGATGTATCCATATGCCTTAAAATTAAAGGCACAGCTCACCCAAAAATTTAATTTGTCATTAATTACTCACCCTCATGTTGTTCCAAACCCGCAAGACCTTCATTCATCTTCAGAACACAAATTAAGATATTTTTGATGAAATCCGAGACCTCTATGACCCTCCATAGACAGCAAGGGTACTACCACGTTCAAGGCCCAGAAAGCTGGTAAGGACATCGTTTAAATAGTCGAATAAAATTGTTGAATAAAGTTGTTATTTTTGGTTCTTTGCACAAAAAAAGTATTCTCATAGCTTTGTAAAATAAAGGTTGAACCACTGATGTCACACGGACCATTTTAAATATGTCCTTACTACTTTTCTGGGCTATGAACTAGGGTTGTGACGGTGAGGAAATTTTCCCACCGGTTAATCGACGTGTGACAACACCTGTAATACCGGTATCACCGTGGGGGGGCGGGGGCGTTCCCTCTTTTCCTCGCTTTCCTTCGCTTTTAAATAGCTTGTAAAAGCTGCGTGCGCATTTTACTTTCACTTTCAAACAGCGGCAATTCGGCGTAAAGCAATTGTTCGTTTTTAGTTCGTTCGAATTTCCCCTCTTTTCCTCGCTTTTAAATAGCTTAAAAGTGACGTGCGCATAGAATTATGCCGTGCGAATTAGCAGCAGTTCGGCGTCAATTGCTTGAATGCAACAACAAAATACAACGTCAAACTCACTTTAGCCTATATATTAAACATAGAACTTTTATTAACAAAACAAATAAAAATTCACCATAGGGTAGGCTATGCCTAATATAAAATAACAAATAACTTACATAAAGTTTAAATCGGTATACAAAACTGGAAAAGTAAACATGTATAATATATAACCAAATAAATAAGAAATGTAGAACGTTTATTAGCAAAACGAGTAAGGAAGCTTGGAGGCACGGCATACACCTTGATGTAAAAAAAATAAATAAATGACAAAGTTTAAATAAAGTAAAAATCAGCAAACAATGTGGAACCAATTAAATAAGAAACAAATGTTTAAAAAAAAACTTCCAAAATCACCTTAGATAAGCGGCAAAAGTCAACAGGCTTTGCATTTCGTTTCGAAACTAAATCATCCGCGATCATTCGTCTTGTCTGTCTCACCCAACTCTTCTTGTCAGTCAGCTCGACTTACTCTCCTCACTGAATAAATGACATTCGGCACGCTGCATTGAGCAGCAGCGTTCAGTTTTTAATTGTAGTGTCTGTTCTTTTACTGAACTAAATGATTTTTATTACTATAAAAAATCTAAACGACGGTGGGGGTCGGTGAGTGGTGGGCAAGTGACGTAACCGGTGTTGCGGCTTAACAGCGGTATCCCCGTCTATCGCGGCAAGCCTACTATGAACGTGGTAGTACTCTTGCTGTCTATGCAGAGTCAGAAAGCTCCCGGATTTCATCAAAAATATCTTAATTTGTGTTCCAAACACGTCTTACGGCTTTGGAACAAGATGAGGATGAGTAATTCAATACAGAATTTTAATTTTTGGGTGAACTATCACTTTAACAAAAATAACAGTTAGTACAGGTTTTTTTATTATGTCTCACCATGATCTGAGCCAGGACGAGCACAATGACATTGGAGGACTTGCTGCTGGAGATGGCATAGAAAAACTGTGAACAAAACATAAATATATTAACCAAAACATGCTTTTCATGAGCTTTAAACATCAATTAATGCTTCTTAGAAACTGAATTTGAGCAAGACCATGTTGCAGTTGCTCAAGGAAATAATCTCCTCCCTCTACACCGGCTGAACCAACACGCCTACGCACACGTACAGTAATATATGACCGTTTCCCCTTAAGTGATAAGACTGAATGAGAAAAAAACATGTTCATCACCTTGGTGAGTGTGATTAAAAGGCCTCGTATGGACGTGACTATGATGATTCCCACCAGGATAAAGGAAATGTGCTGAGACCAGAACTTGACCTGTGGGAAAACAAAGGTTTAAGTTCTTCTGCACATAAATTGCGAGGCTTTATCCATTAGAAAGGGATGAGCAGCATTTGCGCTTATCAGTAGAGAGCAAGAGTGAAGCCGGACACAGATTACATGTTTAAGAGGCTGAATCATTACCTCCTCATGGGGAAAGATTAAACCGTCATTTAACAGGCTGGGGAACAATTAACTGCCAACCAAAGCAGTAAATGTCAGCTGACACAGCACACACAATCGCAGCATGCATATACAATCGCAGTCAGGAGGAGTATAAAGTCTATTAGAGTGGATACGCAACAATTATGTACATGAGTGTGGACTAACAAATGTAATAATCAAAAAAAAATAATAATACAATCATTAAATAAGTAAACAAACAACTGGTATGGTCATTTCTGCTGGCAAAGCAGTGCTAACATCTGATTTGTCTACAGTTTTATATATTGGACAATAGGGGGCATAGAAACACAAGAAGGAAGACTTACCCATGAGATAAAGAGACATTAAAAATGTAAAGGGGGTTTTATCAGCAATAAACATAACATACACTATTGTTCGAAGGTTTGGGGTCAGCAGCTTTTTTTGTAAATCAGCAAGGATGCATTAAATTGTTCAAAAGTAGAATGTATGCGTTTCAAAACATTTCTATTTCTAATCATTTCTGTTCTAACTTTCTGTTCAAAAAAACTGATACAATCCTGATATGAATAAAAAACTGTATCAGGCTTCCCACAACTGTTTTCCACATTGATTATAACAAGAAATATGTATATTATTAAAAGAGAAATCTGTTCTTTTTTTCAATTGTTATAATATTTCACAATTTAACTGCTTTTACTATATTTTTGTGAATTGAGACTGGGTGAGTATAAGTGACTTCTTTAAAACTTCAAAAACTTACTGACCCTAAATGTTTTGAACAATAGTGAATTACACCATTAATACTCACTACGGAGTAACAAAAGTGGAGTAAAAAAAAAAGAATAAATAAATTAAAAGAAATTTAGCTAGCCAAAATATATAAAGCAGCGTAAGATGATGATAACATACATCAAACTGAATGCCGAGATAGTTGACTGTGATCTCGATTCCTCTCGTCACTGGGTCAGTCTTCCCCACACGGTCAAACACTATGTTTATAGTAGCCTATGAAGAACACATTACATTATGTCACTAATTATGACACATTTTTACAATGGTCTATAATACATGTCAAACAAAATGAGCAAAAACAATTCTTACCATGAATATTTTCCACACACAGTAAATGGAGAAAAAATAACCTAAGAAGTTGAAGTATTTCCCCTGAAATGTTTTTGAGTATTCTATCCGTTCCTTGGGATACAGAGACATAAGATCATTATAGTGTTTTTAAAGCTTACTTTTATTTAAATAAAGGATTTATATAAACACATTTTGACCAAATAATTTCCATGACTATACTGTGATTACTGGATATTTACTGGATACTGGAAAGTGGGGGAAAAAAACAAAAAACGATTAACTATAATTGTTTATTTTTAGGATTTTGTTCATTTCCATGTCTGTCCTGGAAATTGCAATGTTTTGAATTGCCCAATACATACATCCTTGTTTCACATGAGCATGGCATCCCTGTGCATGGAAATAAAACTATTTTTCATTTTGTTAAATACCTTGGTAGCTTGCAGGTCCACGGTCTCCAGGAAAAGCTGTCTACTGAGCTCCTCCAGAGCATCCACCTCCTGCTGGATCAGAGAAAGATCTGCCGTGCCAAGGTTAAGAAACAAACATCCCTCAGAGGAGCCTGTGGTCCTAAAATAGTGCATCACAACCCCCCAAAAATTAGTGATCTCAGCCTTGAAAACAATGAGCACTAAAAGAAAATACTAAAAGAAAATACAATTCAGACTGCATATGCATATGGATTTATAGCCAATTTAAGAAACGATAAAACAAATACATTTCAATGTCTGACTTCATTAAAATGATTATTTGCTTTTGTAGATGCATTGTAAAATCTGGGTCCTTTGTGTTTAGCCAGCAGGTTAACCAATCTACTGAACATGCACATCCTCACACATACACACATTATTTACTGCCCATTAGCTACTGCTTTAAATTAAATTGCTGTGGCAGTCCTCCAGGAGCAAACAGGAGTTAATTGCTTTGTTCAGACACTTAAGGCACAATGGTGATGAAATGTGATCTCAGTAACTCTCCAGTTGCTGGGTCTCTTCTAAATGAGACTGAATTACTAACTCAGGACCTGTACTATCAGCCTGCTGCCTCAGACGAACTGGCTCATTAAGGATACTCTCACTGCCTGATGGTGAGGAGGTCACACTCTTGATCATCCCCCAGAATCCCGTCTGTTTATTCTGCTCCTCTCCACGCTGGTACATCTGCCTTCTTGTCATGGCAATCCTACAAAGAGACATTAAAAAGTTCTTAAAAATAAAAATGTTGCTCTGTTATGACAAAATTAAAGAATACAAATGGTACTTATTTACTACTTTTGGTTCATATAAAAACCATAAATGTAGGGTCAGAAATATTATTTTTCAACATAATGTTTTAACAAAATCTTCAGCATAATAAGGAGCATGTGACAGTGAAGACTGGAGAAACAGCTACTGAAGATTCTGCTTTACCATCACAGGAATAAATAACATTTCTTAAAATATATTCATAGAAAAATATTTGAAATTGTAATCATATTTCACGGTATTATTTTTTTTTACTGTATTTTTCATTATTAAATAAATGCAGCCTTGGTGAACAAAAGACACTACTTAAAAAATAATAATAATAATAATAATAATAACTTTTGAACCTTAATGTGTATATACAGAGCTAATTATTTCTGTAAATCTTATATTTTATGTTATATTTAAAATATATATATATATTGTATATATCTCTTTAAAGAACAAAAATTATGTTGATGCTAATTAATACGGCAAATAGATATCTAAGACAGAAAGAAAGAAAGAAAGAAAGAAAGAAAGAAATGCCCATGATATTGTGAATATGTTTGCCCTGTCTGCTTGGTTCCCTCTCTTTATACTGCTTACCTTTTCTTTTTACTGACAATCATGTCCATAGTCTGAAGAAGTCTTCTCTCCAGGGCCAGGATATCACTGTCTGTCACATTTCTGAGCAAACAAACCAAACAAACATCTAGTATCTTACATATAAAATATACAACAAGCTATTCTCCGTTATTTTATGTGTATAAGAGCAAAGATACCTCAGAAAATATGACATGTATGTATAAGGACAGTTCACAGCACCAAAGCCAGACAGAAGAGCCATCAGTGTGACCCCAATGACCCCCACACGACTGATCAGCTGCTCTATGGACAGAATGCCTGCGAATACAAGAAAACAGATACATTATTATTTTTAATATATTTACTTTCCTAAAGCACATTTATTGTCTTAATGTGCTTGCATCATTGGTGCACATTATTCCAAACATAGCAAATGATTTTGTTCTCAAAGTCTACAATTTTTTTTTTCTTGTTAAATATTATGCTACATTCATAAATACATAGAAGGTTTTATGTTGACAGTGCCTACCATGTTTTGGACTGAGTATAGGGAAAGGATCGCCCAGTTTCCAGAAGAAATACATGAATGTGAACCAGACCACACATGAAAAAAGCAACCTTTGTCTCTGCACTGTAAAATAGCAGAAAAAAAGGTAGGGTGCATAAGCACATTTTGTGCAAATATAAATAAATAATAGGGATGCACCGATATGAAAATTTTGGCCGATACCGATAACCGATTATTCTTTATTTTTGAAAGCCGATAACGATATGTTGGCCGATAAATCTATGTCCAAATTGTTATATATTTTTTGAGAGCCTGATTACAAAAAAGGTCTCATCATTAAAAGCCACATCCCAAACACTAAGCAGCCTAGTTTGAACGGTGTACGTTTTAAAAATAATTTTACTCTCCCATTACCAAATTTAGTCATAAAAAAAGTCTTACAAATAAATAAAATAATGCATAAATAATGCAAACAAGTCATTGGACATCATTACACGTGTAAAGAATCAAAATGAATGCGCCATAGATCAATAAAACGGAATAGCCTCTGCACGGACAATAATTAAATTATTTTAATTACTAAACCATATTGTTGATGAAAATAATAAGAGAAAAATACAAGTGGTTGTTGTTATTAATAACGCATCAATGATTTTGAAAAAGTAACAAATTAATACCACTGTTTTAAATAGCAGCCATTGAGCTGCAGCTCAAGCTGAAGCTGAAGAGCTGAATGAACACGGTAAACTGAAGCGTTTTGCTGGCAGCTTATTTAACTCAAGGAAATGCATCCTGAGATTAATATTAATACAACATAAACATAATAATACAACTTATATATGTACAAAATGACGCAGTTATTGCATGCTATAGTCAGAATGTGTGATCCTGTTGTGGATGCGCTCTTCCCATAACAACACGCTGCTCTTTTAACTTAACCAAACGCATTCTATATGAGATAAATCAGATATACATCAAATAAACACAATATTACAACGTACAATTGCACAAAAGGCTGCAAATGAACAGCGCGCATCTGAAGTGTCTCTGAAGGAAATAATGCATTATTTATCGGCTTTAAGATATCGGCCAAATTTTCTTATCAGGCCGATACCGATAACAGAAAAAATGAGCATTTATCGGCCGATACCGATATGGTGGCCGATATATCGTGCATCCCTAATAAATAATTCACCCAAAAAAAAGAAAAAAAAACGCTGAAAATGTACTCATTCTGACAGCACTTATTCACTGCAGAGGATCCATTGGTGAGCAAGTTATTTATATAAAAAAAAAAAAAAAAGTGTAGGTACATTTTTAGCAAATTTCCATTTTTGGGTGAACTATTCCTTTAAACAAGCAAATGGAACGGCTACAAAATATAAAGAGAGAACCAAATCTACTTACGTAATCGTATATTACTGACCACAAAGTAGCCAATGTAGAAAGGCACCACAAATATCAGAACCAGTAATATTACATACAAATTCAGCTTCCAGTGGAAATATCTGGACCTGTTTAAAAAACAAACAGCATGTGAGCATCGGATCTACATTTCTCACCATTGATTTTAGTCATGAATACTTACGTGCTGCTTAATACACCGAGGATCTCAAAGATAATGAGCTCAAACATAGTGCAAGAAAAGGCAAATGTGATGGAAAAGACCACCTGCACAACATACTGCCGAACCTGAGGAGGAATTAAGACAGACCTGTATTATAAATACTGAAAGCCCAGTCAACAAAACTGGTCTAAATCTACTCTTATGCACAATACCTCATAATCTTTAAACAACTGCCTCATGAAAAACAGCCAGCCAAACCCAAAAAACAGCACCTGTGGACACAAAATCATGTTAGCTGGAGTGTTTAACACATCCTCCGAGCATTTCTATGCGAGACACATAAATGTGTTGCAATATACACAACCAACACATAAACCAAAGACCTTCAAAACTACTAAAACAACTATATTAACATTGAACTATTTCAAATAATATTGTAGTCCTCTGTCAAAAATTAAAAGGCTTTAAAGAGGGAAAAAATCTGTTGTTATTATTAGGCATCTGTTGTAGACAAAGACACAGTCAGACAGACACCTTTAAAGTTATTTCATAGTTTTTTTATCATTTAAAGCATTTAACCTTGGTAACAAGTATTTGTGTTCGCGTTGTTGATGCCGATATGCATTTTTTAATGAAAGAGAGATAAGACATACCTGAGAAGTGAACATAATCACTGAATCTACGAAGAAAGACATGGTGTAGCACGTAGTATGGAGTTTATATACAGAAAAAGACAAACGCAGCCTCAGCTCATTATGTTAAAAATGCTCTGTTAATATAGAGAATCAAATATTGAACAGAATAAGTGTCCGACTGAGCTGTCAAGACAAGGGGACGAAAAGGTCTTCCGGCGCACAGTAATGTCATCATCAACTGGTTGATAACCCGACCGCTAGAGGACGTTACCACCTCAAAAATGATACCGTTTTTTTCAACTGCTTACACCAGGGGTGCCCAAACTCTGTTCTGGAGGGTCAGTGTCCTGCAGAGTTTAGCTCCAACCCCAATCAAACACACCTGAAGCAGCTAATCAAGCTCTTATAGGCATACTAGAAACTTACCAGCAGGTGTGTTGAGGCAAGCTGGAGCTAAACTCTGCAGGACACCGGCCCTCCAGGACCGAGTTTGGACACCCCTGGCTTACACACATCTCTTGCGAAATGTAGCACTGCATTCAGAATATTACAAACACATCTCAAAAGCAAACATTTGCAAACAACTTTGCCATAATATTAATTCACGTTAGTTTTTTTGTGTGTTACATAGAGCATTGTGTGTTGTGTTTTGCAAAAAAAAGTGTTTATGAAATTGAAAAAAGGCAGAGAATTAGTGTGGCTTTGCAGGTTTGGTGTGTGGTTCTGCTGTTTGAGTGTCAGGTTTTAGAAATTGTGTGACAAGTTTTGTGTGTAAGCAGTTGAAAAAACCTGTAAAGACGCATAGACAGCAGTTTTTTTTTTTTTTTTATCCGAGATATTATTATTCAATTCAGTTCAAGTTTGTATAGCGCTTTTCACGATACAAATCGTTGCAAAGCAGCTTTACAGCAAATTAAGTTTCGACAATATTTAGTGGTAGCTTATCAGTGGTGACTGTCAGTCAATGTACATATGGCAGAAATGTACGGAAAGAGCAGTTAAAGACGTAATCAAACAAACGATGAACACTATTAACAGCAATTATTATATGATGCAATCAAACTTATAGCAAAATGTGGTAGTTCTGTATTATAACAATAATAATAATTTAAAACTATTGATGTATTTACTAATGCTTTGTCAATGCAAAGTTGCTATTTTACTAAGAGAGACTGAAAAAACAACAGAGAGAGAGAGAGAGAGCTATGGTGTGTGACTGAGGCCAGGGGCTGGGTGTTTCATTATTAAGATGGAAAGTCTGACTGAAGCGACATATGGAACAGAGAACATGGGAGTCTTGGCTAAATCACATCCTGTGAAAGCTGTCACCACACAGCAGTCCCAATGGCTTAGTTCCCGACAGATTATACTTCCATTCAGCCTGTGGTGTTATTTTCATAACATATAAATATATCAAAACCTTACTTACATCATTTGCCGTTCCTTTTTCTTTGTGTCAGTATGTTTAGTCACAAGTAAAAAATCTATTTAGAAAAACATGGTGTATTTTGCATATTGATGGATCTTTTTGATAACTATTACAGGAATTGTTTGTTATGAGCAACAATATTAAACTGATCAAATGGAGACTTTATTGCATTTAGATTATTTGGATTTTCAGAGAAGATCTAAACACATAAAGTCTGCAATGAAAAATCAGAGATTTCAACATGAGCTTTTTTTTTTTTATCAGACTTGTCTGTATGCTATCTACGTTAAGTTTTTTTTTACAATCGCTATAGAACTTATTTCTCAATAGTTATGTCAGTTTTTCAAAACCCTTCATGTAGTGCTCTTTTCTAACCTTCAGCTTGGCATAGATGTAAAGTTCACATCCAGAATGCAATAACACAACCAAAACACTTCATTCATGTCTCAAATTAAGTCATTTTTCCATAACTCTGGCAAAGGTTGTCGCTGTCACTCGTAATAAAGTGACCTTACAAAACACTAACAACAAAGTAGCGGATTTCTGTCTTATTCAGTTTTGTATTATTGAACTTAAAGGGTTTTTTTCAACTGCTTACACACATTTTCAAAGCTTTACACACAAATCCAAGAATTACACACACAAAATGCAAAATGCCTCACTTACATCTCTTGCAAAATGAAGCACTGCATTCAGAATATCACAAACACGTCTCAAAAGCAAACATTTGCAAACACCCTTGCCATAATATTGATTCCTGTTGGATTTTTGTGTTTTACATAGAGAATTGTGTGTTGTGTTTTGCAAAAAGTGTTATGAAATTGAAAACTGAGTCAAAGGCCGAGAATTAGTGTATGGTTTTGCAGATTTGGTGTGTGCTTCTGGTGCTTGAGTGTCAGGTTTCAGAAATTGTGTGACAAGTAAAGATTTTGTGTGTATAAGCAGTTGGGGGGAAAAACAGAAGCTGTTACTGATCCACATTGAATTCCATAGTATAGGAGAAAAATTACTATGGAAGTCAATGGGTACCAGAAACTGTTTGGTTACCAACATTCTTCAAAATATCTTCTTTTATGTTCATCACAGGCTTGAAACACCTTGAGGGTGAGTACATGATGACAGAATTTACATTTTTACATTAAACTATCCCTTCAATTTTAACAATTAAATTACATATAATTGTGTTTAAGTGAAAAAGGAATAATGCCATTTTAAAGATGTAGTCACTGAATGCATTTTGTGCCAAAGCAATGATGAATGATCCACAGTTTAGCCCGTATAGACTGTTGTTGGGCTCACTAAAAGCTACCTAAAATGGGTCCAGGCAATAAAAAAAAAACTGTAGCACTTTACTTTACTGTATGTCAACATGGGTTGAGTACTGAAACCCGGTACCAATATGGAACACTGTTTACCTATGCAACCGGTATGTACTAGAACCGAATCAGAATGCAGATTTCGGTGCCATGCCTGAGCGATCGATTGAAATATTTGTCCTCTGGTTCTCCGAAACGGACGTAAGAAACATCATCACCGGCACCGCACGTGAAAAATAATTTCCCGACTGAGAAAATGCACGTGAACTCAAGTCAGAAAGCTCTAATAATACAAATACAATAAATCTTTGTAGTAACAAGAGTGTCCATGTTGTTTTCACATTCCGACTTAAAAGCACAACTCGGGAAACGAGAGCATTCGAGGAGCACGTGAATGCAGTAATTGCACTTGCTCTGATGGCAGCAGGTAGCCTTCCGTTAGCTAAACATGCTTAAATTAAAATGCCTAAAGCTAAACTCCCCTTGTATTCACATTTCTAAACCTGTTGTCCAACAAAAGAGAACAAAAAGTAGTATACTTCAAGTTTATTTTAGTAAGTATACTTAAGTAAAGTTCAAGGAAAATTTATATGTTCTGTTTACTCAGTTACAGCTATAATAGTGATGCCTTTATCCATATAAGGGATTTCCTGGAGGGTCATGAATTCCGCTACTTCTGTGACTAGGTATGTGGATTTTATGTGCGAGGGCACCCTCTGGCGTCCAGTCTGAACGAAACAGATATCATGTGTTTATAGTGCTAATGGCCAATCCATCATTTTTGGGGGAATTTTTTATTTTTATTTTTTATAAGTATCGGTTCAGGCACCGGAACCATTTTAAAAGTATTGATTTGGCACCGGTACCGAAAAAAAACCCAACCCTAGTCAACAATTATCTAAAAAAACCTTAGGAAAATCATCTGATAGAAAGTTGACTAGAACATATGTGTTCTGATCCTTCAAGAGTTTCAAAAAGCAACTTCTGAGCAATAAAAACCTGTTTCCTGAAGCAAAACCCTTTAAGAACAGCTGTTTTAGGCCACCATCACACTCCCTTTGCTACAACTCACCCAAAGAAAACAAGCATTAAGTCAAGACCTCCCACAACACCACAAAAGGCTTGACTTCCTCACGGCCCATGAAGAGCTTCTTGACAGTGCTGAGGTGTGAATTGAAACAGATGCTCAGGTGTCCCACAGCACTGTCATCACACAATTGGGGTTGTCAGAGAGTTTTCTAATTCATTGGCTGATTTATTTATATACTGCAGGAGTCTAGGACTGGTGTGTGGGGAAGCATCCGCTGGGGAGACTATGAAGCGATGAAAGCGATAAAGTGTTTCTGATGAGCTTTTGGGACTCTTGGGAAGGCAGTATTGTTTGAATGTTAGAGGGCTAAAGAAAGATACAGTCTCTTAGGCCTCTTTCAGCTCTGAGGTTTTATTTTCATATTTAAAAATTTATACAGCAACACGTTGATTGTCTGGCGGATTTTTTTTTTATGTGAATATGCTTTGTATATGCTAAGTGCGAAAATGATCAACACAATACCAGAGGTGTAAAGTATTGGAGTAAATGTACTTACTTACTGTACTTGAGTATCTTTTCGGGTACTTTGTAGTTGTACTGAGTATCAAAGATATTAGCAACTTTTACTCTTTACTTCACTACATTTTTGAATGAGCACATTTGAAATGAGTGTTGCAGTTGCACATTACATTTTGCATGGACCTAGCTTTTTTCTGCGGCAGTTTATTTCTGCCACAAAGACGTGATACTGCCCGCTACAAGTCACTGAAAGTACTGCGTTTTGCCCTTACTCACCCAAACTTGTCAACAAGGCTACTTTACATGAATGCGAGTTCCTTAGCAAGTATTTGTGAATCAGAGGTATTTTATGTATAAGATGAGGACATGCCTGCAGCTGGCAATGAGGCCCAAACCAGCACATCCAGTGCAAGAAGGCTTCGGCTTTTTAATTT